TTTATGCCTGTCATCAACTAGTCGCTGTCACGTGATAATGACTGACAAGATGCAGTCCTCGGAAAAGACAGCAGGTGATGAGCCCCTGCGCGTCTGGATCGAGGCGGAGGCGACGCGCTGTGCGGTACTGACACCGGCGGTAAAACGGATATTTAACCAAACTGTGACCTTTTCCCTCTTGCAATTTAACCTTCCCCTCACCCCCATCCTAACCTTAACCAGTTTGTGCATGCAAAGCTCTGATCGTTGACGTGCGCTCCAGACATTGCGTCCTGAGCACCGCCAAATCAGGTGTCACCACCTCAAAAACAAATTAAACACGCGATCGTTCATGTCGGCTCATTTACTTTCATGTTTTTTGTCTGTTATTTGTGCCTGATGCATTTCGCTGCTGCGGAGCGAGGCGCATCACCTGTTGTCCTCCGGTGACGCACCCCCAAGATTCCATTATCTCCACTCCGCTCCGCTCCGGCACGAACTCCGCAGCAAAAACGGTCCCGTTGTAGTCGGCCGGCGAGCAGCGGCACTCCGCTGTTTTTGTGGTCGGTAGATCTTTTAGAACTGCAGTTCAAAGGTAACTCATAAGGTGAATATATATGAACCCAGGTAGCAGTTTCTCTTTAGGATTGAGAGGAGATGCAGGAAGATAATAAACAGGCAGGACAGAAAAATAGTCAAATAAAAACAAGTTAGTTTTTGTACCTGGTGGTTGCAACAAACAGACACCATTGAAGGTAATCAGAAGTGAGGAACAGAAAATGAAATAATTATTTTAATGTTTAGAGCAGCAGGAAAGGCTGCAGGCGCATCAGTGAGTTTGCGGCTGCTGCGCAGGGGGAGGGGGCAGAGGACTGAAGTAGGATGCAGAAACTACCGTTGTTAAAAGAAATGTGTTAACTTAGAAAATGTGGGCGCAATTTTAATTGTCAAAAACTCCAGCGAACCTACCGACCGACCCCCCCCCCCCCCCCCCCCCCCGCTTCCGGCGTATGACGTCATCAACGACTAGTCAAAGTCGACTCGACTTTCATTACTTGACTGTCGACTTTAAAAAGAATAAAGTCGTGCAGGCCCTATTGTAAGCTCCTTCTAAGGTTCTACAACCCCCAAAGGCACTTCTGAACACTGATGCCACAGCTCCCTTTGACCACCACCAGCACAGTTTCTTGGATTTGAATCACTCTGACACATTTCCTGAAGCCAGATTAGAATAGATGACCCTTCAAAGGAATGGCATTTCAGTTACCACACATTTCAAGTGTCCCACCAGGACAGTTTTACTGGAAGTCATGATTTTTTTCTATTTTTGACTGGTTGTTGTACTTGTTCAGCTGTGGCATACATATTCACAGTTGTCTGTTGTAAAATAAAACAGGATTCACATTTCAGCTGCGCCAGTCAAATGCTTGTATATAACCTCCCATTTGCTTTGAATGCCCACATTCTTGACAATTACTGTACTACAGTATGTGTTCATTGATGACGCTAAAGCAAGATGACAGAAATTCAAGCTCAACTTCAAAGGTGCTGTACGGAAGGAGCTAGAGATGCATAGAACCAGTGACGTGAGGGTTAATCAACCTGGAAAAGGGGGTCTGGGGGGCAGTTCCATGATTTAGGTCAGACAGCTTGTCGTGGATTTTTGAGGTAAGGACCCAAATGCAGGTGAGAGAAGAAGTCCAGTAGGCAGCCAGGCACTGTAAAAAAAAAAAGTCTTTTTATTTTAGTGTTGGGTCTGGAACAGAAGAAGGATAAACATGAGAACACGAGGAACCACCAAGGAACTGTGACTGAGCTGGTCTTAAGTAGACAGGGTGGTGAATACACAGACAAAGGAACAGGTGAGATGATTGCTAATGACGAGGGCTTTTAGGTGTGACTAACTGACCGAGGAATGAGAGCTAATACAAAACACAAGAGGAGGAGAACCTATAACTGAACAAGATAAAACAATAAAGAAAGTAACGAAAACAAGACGATAATAAAACCTAAAGGCTGAAACAACTAAACCAAAAGCTAAATGAGGATAGCAAAATCTAAATACTCTAAAAGTGACTGTAAAGGGATGAATGTAAAGGCTGAATGATCAAACTACATGTGAGCTTCAGGTTGCTGGTGTTCCACAGAGCTAGCTCCGGTTGTAGCTAGGTAGCTACCTCCATTAGCTTAGCTCCCACCTCCGCGTTAGCTTTGGATTAGCTTCAGGTTAGCTTGTAGCTAGTTCGACCAGGTGTCGTCATTTGATCCTAGCCTTACAGCGCCACCCTCAGCTCCACCTCTTCCCTTTTGTGGAATTGTCTGGGCTTGACGGAACCTGTGACACGGTCAAAATGGCGGTGGTGGCCACCTCCCATTTCTCCTCAAAAACGTGTTATTGGAGCCTGTAGAAACTCATTGTTCGTATATGTATATGTCGATGATCCACAACCTGGTGGGGATGAGCTACAATGTAGCTATAGCTGCCCTGGGGCGCTCTGACAGAGGCGAGGCTGCCAACCACCACCAGCAACTTTAAAATGATTTTAATTCAAATGAAGCCTTAGCTTGATCAAAATCATTATTAGACCATCATTCAGAAAAAAAGTAACATTCTTCTCCAATTGGTTGTCTTTTTCTTTCTAACTTTCTCAACATCTGGTAAAGGAAGAAGCACTAAATTAAACCACAGGGCCAACTTTTCTCCGAAAGAGTAATATTTTTGTGATTTTACAAATATGGTGAGCCACTCCCATAGAAACAATAGAAAAGTCTCTGAAGACACTCTGAGCACTGGTTGCTGTTTACATCAGAAAGCTACACATCATTAAGACTGTGTGTCTGGTGTGTTATCCATCTGAAACTCAATTTAAAAAAGGCTATTTTAGTACTTTCATCTGACATATTTTACCCTTAAAATACTTTAAACTGGTAAAACCATTATGTAAGAAAACAAACCTAATGAGAAGTTGTTTCACTAGGAAATGCTTTTCACAGGCGCCTAAAGGATTACCATTTACTGTTATAAAAGTGATAATGTTTCTGTCATTTTACATTGTTAACAAATGTACTACCATTAGTTTTCCTTCTTAAAGTGTACATTCTTTAAGAATATTTCAAATGATACAGGAACAAACCAGCAAGAAGAAAATGTGACATTTTTAATTATTTATGAGCTAATATGGTAAAATATAAACTCATGAAACATAATACTACATTGTTTGAAGTACAGTTCTGACATTTATAATAGTTGAAAGCAAAACATTTGGCTACTTTGCTGAGTTTAGTGTCCACTAAAATATTCCTGGTATGCTGTCATGCTGGCTATAGAGCTCCGGGAGTTGACGTCACTTCTCCCGGCATGCAACGGTTCAAATCGAAATGGCGCCATATTGGCAGGTAGAAGCCCGCAGCTGGACTATTTGTTATTGTCAGAAAACTCAATCAGACAGGAAATATGGTAGATTCCTGTTGTGTCCCAGGATGCAGAACAGACGCGGACGACATAAGGGATGAGCCATCTACAGGATTCCCCAAGATCCGGAGCGCCGCAAACGTTGGATCATTGTAATAAAACACGCTAGTGACCGGCTAAAATGAAACTGTGGGATCCCAAGAGTAAAGGTTTTCACTTATGCAGCGACCGCTTCATATCAGGTACTTAAACCAACGTTTCCTCAACTGTGTATGGTATTTATTTTAAATGCTTTTATTACGATTCTTAGTGGGCTTCCTAAACTTATTTTGGCGTGGCTTTTTCTGTCTTATTACTCATAGCAACAAGTAAACATCATGTAAAATGTTGCCTCGTGATTTCTGTGTGCTGCCGTTTACGTGTTTTATGATCACAGCAATTAACCAGCTAAGATGTATTTAATTTTTAAGCAATGGTTCATCAATAGTCATATCACACATAAAAAGCACTTTGGGTTGCTATTATCTGTCTCACAGAGACAGATCTCAGACAGATCCTGAGACGCTCCTGCCTGACATATTTATTTTATTCACGGAAAACAATCAGACTAGTGATTTCTCTTGGCGTTCAGTTTATACATTCAAACAGCACAGCACTCTATTTAAACTACTTACGTGTAAATCTGTTGTTTGTCCATCCATTTTCATCTGCGTATCCGGAGTCGGATTATGGGGGCAGTAGCGTCGAGAGTCCCAGACTTCCCTCTCCCCAGCCACCTGAGCCAGCTCCTCCGGGGGAATCCCAAGGGGTTCCCCGGCCAGGTCCGGTAAGAAGTCCACTCCGACAGCTTCTGACGTTTTTAAAAAGTATCCCAGGGGCACGGTAAGGGTCGGAGATGTTTAGTCTATTTAATTTCTGACTATATAAAACGATTTCTTCGGTTTTAAAGTGTGAAGTAAACTCAGACGAAGTAAAATCCAAGCCGATCCCGTTCACGTTCATGGTTAGATCCGTGTTTGTTTAGCTTCTTTTACCTGCCAATATGGCGTCTACTAACTGAGAGTCACGTGGGGTCCGGAGCTCTATAGCTAGACACCACACACAACTCATCGAGATAGCGGCACTAATTCTCATCTTCTGGCCGACAAATGGCTCCGTAGATTACCATTCCATTGTTTTTATTTGATAGTTTCAGCACCCAAATAATGTGTCATAGACAAAATATTTAAATTTCTTGAAAACAGAAAAATGCTGGAAGTGCTGCATGGGTGTAAGAAATTTTTCTCTGGTGCTCTCACTGGTGCTCTTCAGCCAAGGGATCTACATGAATGTTGGGCAAAAAGGAGATCTGAGGCACTCCTTTTGCCCAAAATTAAAATTTCTTATTTATTTGTAATTTGATTACATGTCAGCGACATGTATCCAAAATAAGCTTAAATTTGCCTTCTAACACTGTTTAACTCAGTTTTTACTAATAAAAACCTAAACTTTCTACATCCAAATGCAATTTAAAAATACTTTTTGTTAATTTCACTGTGTAATTTTGCTATCATAGCCCCCCCCCCCCACCCCCCAAAAAATAAGAAAAATTAAGAGATAAGACCTCAAATCAGCATGTTAAAATCATTTATTGTGCTCCAGAAGAGTAAGACTATTTAACCAGAAAAAAGACAGATGACAAAAAAATTCTACAGTACAAATGCCAGACCTGCTCACTTTTACCCCGATCTCACGAGGCATTCGAAGAACAATTCCACCTGCCTGTTTTATGCTGTTTGCAAAAACCTCTCAGGATAAATCTGAGGTTTGACTGTTGCTGCTGCTGCTGCGATTTTGAGGTCAGAAAACGGCACATTGCTTTACATTCATTCATAGAGCTGGTTCTTCCCTTTCCATTCACTGTAAGATGGGCTGAATGTTGACCGTGGTCAAAGTAGATTTACACACAACAAGAGAAGCATTCCCCGAGAACCAGGTTTCTGAACAGCTCTGGCTATGGATTCTCTGTCCCTCAGCTACCGGCTCCTTTAAACCGAGAGATGTTGGGATTTAAAAACAGAAAGACCACAGAATATGAAAGCTGCCTGCTTTGATTTGGAATCCCTGTTCAGAAAAGATGGAAACTCTTATTGGATGGAAGATTACACCAGATGGGAGCCTTTCCCATTTCTCATACATTTCCAGATTTTATTACATCAGCCTTTTACATGTGAACATGTAAAATAGCTGCACAGAGTTAAATAAATCTAATTTCAAATGTTATTGAGGAGAAGCTGAATTATAAAAACAGCCATAATTCAAGATTATAACACAAAAAGATAAATTAGGCACAAAGGAATAAACAATAACCTTTACAATGTTTACCAGCCTTATATCCTTACAATGAAATGTATTAAAAAGCAGAAAATTTACATTAATGTAAAGTTTTAATTAATGTACTCAATGACAACAGCAACTTTTTGGAACACTGTGTTTTAAACTTTTACAACTAAACGATTAAACAAAAACTCTTTAATGCTACACATATTTATTGTCTTTGACATAGTTAGAAATCCTTGACAAACTAAAGGAAGATGTATTATGGTCTAGAAATTATTAGCTCATTTTTTCATCCACTGAAAATTGGAAAAAAACGTGTGTTGGTGTTTTTTAATGGTGAGACATTTTTAAGTGTAGTTACTTCGAAGCAAGAAGTGATGCCGGTCTTTGTAAATCTGTCACAGCATAGAAATACAAATACATTTATGTCCTTACCAAATCGTATTCATTTGGTCAGATTTTTATATTTGAAGCCCCAAAAACCAAGGTCCTGTTCATTTTCCACCACGGTGTCGGCTAGTGAATTCCACCACTTATTTACAATAACTGATCTAATCATTTCAGATTGTTCTAAATTGGAAATGTTTTAATTTCTAATATTAGGCTGACTGTAGATGACAATTCTGTTTTCTGTCAACAGTAAAGAATGAAGAGCATTACCTTTTGGGAGATCACTTGTATTATTTTCCCCAGGATGTTTAAATGAATAAATAAAAGCAAATGTACATAAAAGTATATGTCAGATAAAACTGTTAAACCTTTCAGTTGTTTTTGCATTTGGCCACGAAATGTTGATCTGTTTGAGTCCAACTATGATCCATTCAGTTATGAAAGGAAGGTAGAACCTCTTTATCTCCATGTGAAATATTTGCTATCAGTGTGATCATAAATTAAATAAACTTGAAAATATCAACCAAAATATGTGTTAATAGTTCTGATATTTATTTACATTTAACATAAAATACGCATTTAACAAAATTATATTCCTCAAAACAAGTTTGTTAGCCCTAGTCAGTCAGTTCTTAGCCCTTATTGAAACAATTACGCAGAGATTTAAATATGGATATGAATATTGTCACAAATAAGCAACATCACAGGTACCTTGTTGATTTCTGAACCACTAGAGGTGCTGTTGAGCTGTATTTTTACACAATTTCGTGCTCACAACAAACTCAGGTGACATGTTTGTCAGGTATGTGAAGATGACATCACCTCCATTTATATGATCTTGTTTTTTTTAAAAACTTTGCCCTTTGAAACCAGCAGACCTGGGTAATCCTCACATGACAAAACAGCGACAAAAACAATAGGCAATGTTAAAAAACACACAAAAAAACGAGAGAGAGAGAGAGAGAGAGAGAGAGAGAGAGAGAGAGAGAGAGAGAGAGGGGTTTTAGGAGGTAGAAAGGCAAGTGTGATGCTCCCTGGGTAATTACGCTTGTAGTTTGCAGAAGATACTGAACCAAATGGTGTCTCGTGCGTCTCCAGAATCTCTAACAGAGTTACCGCCACAAAAGGCAAATCATTCAAAATAGCTGGTTGGCTAAAATAAATAAAAGCTTTCCTCAAAGCAAACACAAAACCATAAAATGTCAATGATCCTACGACTGAGAAATGGTAAGACAATCAACTCTATGTAAATAATGTTGAGCAGCACTCTATGCTTTAGTAGCCTGTGATGCTGTTAATCATTCAACATGAAACAGTGAGCAGATGCTTTAGTGTTTTCAAAGGTGGGCCACTAGGTCCTTTTTCTGGGAGGTCCCCTCCCTCCCGTCTTCTTATGCTTTCAGAAATCTTTCTTCTGCCTTTATGACGTAGAGGATGAAGCAGAAATCCAACACTCCAATCAGTCGTGCTTAGGTCAGCTCTAGCTGACTTTCAGTTTTAGATATAATCCATCTTACAGCACTTTTCCGCTGTTCTGCTTGTGTTAGTGTTCAGTACTATGATTAGATTGGATAACAAGCTCTTCTTTTTAGGACCCTCGATGCCGTTCTTTAAATCACATTCCACTATACTCAGTCTATTGTTTTCCCCTAAAGCCTAATTTCTAGTCACTGCAGCACATCTACTCCCACCTTTTTTCCTTTCTATTTGCTTGGTTTTATGTTTTCAACCATCCAGCAGAAGCATCTTTTCTGTGTGAGAATTAGACTATTTTTATTTGGTCAGACGAGCTAAATCTCGTTAGCAACTGTCATCACACCTTAAATTCACAACAGTTTCAAGCTATTTCGGTTTAAAATGTCAAACATGTCAGGTGCTGACCGGCATTTCTGTCACTTTCATTATTTGACAACTGACTTGCATTTTTCTCCTCTTACAAATCAGAAAACTGAACGCATAACAAGTTTTTAACAAGGTTCCATCCTGAGCTGTCAGCTACTTAGCATGGCCCTGCAGATGCTCGACTATCTACCCATCACAGCAATTATATGTTTAATTCAGTGGATGGCCCCTCTGTTGTGCTGTTCTAATTTCTCTGGAGAGTAGTGCTAGACCTGGACCAGTGCTGACAATGTACTCCCCAATCCCCGTGAAGCATGTGTGAAAAGATAAGGTTAGTGTTTAGAGGGAGCTCACTGACTCAGTCATGTAGCACCAGCAGCATTTTTACAACAATAGTTTTAAAAGGCTTGTTAAAGTTTATCCTAATCTTTTACCAAGCACTGTTTCCAAGCTCTTTATTCTATATCATCAAAACACAGGTTTGGGAGACCAAATGAACACTAGGGATCACTTTCAGATTCGTTGAGAAATCATTTAAGGCCTAGTCCACACGTAGCCGGGGTTTTTTGAAAACGAATATCCGCCCCTCGAAAAACTTGCATCCACACCACCTCGTTTTAAAAACAAACTCTGTCCACACGTACCCGGATAAATACGTTGTTAAGGACATGCCAGACCTGTAGGCGGCAGTACTTCCCCCGTTCTTAACCTCGTCCTTCATCTGTGGTCTTCCGCAAGGAGCAGTAATTCCGCTTGCAAAAACAAACAAGCAGAAAACGCTTGGGCAATTGATGGATCGGGTAGTGACAGAGCGCAGCTCTGAAGGCTTCCATGATGCCGGCTAGTGTAAACACAGGTCGCACACGTGATGTCAGCATTTTTTTGTCGTGGAAAGTGACGTTGCGGACCTTAAAACTCCGGCTTTGTCCGTCCACACGCAGACACCCAAAACGGAGAAAACGCAGATCTTCACTTTGGCCGGAGTTTTTAAAAAGATCCATTTTCGTGTGAAAAAACTCCGTTTTCGTGTGGATGACAGGCCAAAACTTAGGAAAATATCTACGTTTTGGCAGATCCCCGGCTACGTGTGGACAGGGCCTAAGTTGTGTTATTTTTTTGCAATGCAACATTATAGAAGCATATGTAGGATTTAAGCTTGAAATGTTCAGTTCTGCACTGTTGGATAGTAACTATGTCTGAAGGATAACAGTAAAAGAAAAGGTTATACATGACCCCTTTGAACCCTTTGTGTGTGATTAATGTATAATAATAAACTGGCAGAATAAGAACTTTTTTGTAGTACTTTGCTGTTCTGTGCGATCTAATACTAAATCCTAGTTTAGTATTAGAAAGAAACAGATGGTTGTGGTGAACTATGGCCACCCCTAGAATGTATTATTGGTGTGTTTTACTTTGAAAAAAAAATGTAACAACTTATTTGTTTGAGATGAAGTGGTTTTTGGGTTTGAGTCTTGGTTAATGATGTACTGTTGGCATACAGATTCAACAAAGCTCTGTTTTGTATGTAGTAACGTTAATGCAATAGGTTTTGTTTCTTACGGTATTCTAAGGAGCTTTGAAAGAAAAGTGTCTGGACTTCTTTGAGTTGCTTGAAGACGTTTCACCTCTCATCCGAGAGGCTTCTTCAGTTCTAAGGTCAAATGGTGGAGAGTCCCAGATGTATGTAGAAGATCATCAGGGGGCCTTTTGCTCCCTCTTCGGGAGGAAACTCCCACTGGGTTTGAATCTGGGACTCTCCACCATTTGACCTTAGAACTGAAGAAGCCACTCGGATGAGAGGTGAAACGTCTTCAAGCAACTCAAAGAAGTCCAGACGCATTTCTTTCAAAGCTCCTTAGACTACAATGACCTGGATGACTGAGAACCTTCACAGACTTCTTAAGGTATTGTTCTGAAAAAGAATGTCTAAAAATGTAACGTTCTTTTTTCTCTCGATACTTACTGTCTGATGGCTTCTAAAACCTCATTCACACCGAATGTGGAATGGATGCAGTTCGGTTTCTGTAGAGCTTCCACATAGACCAAACATCAGAATCCAGTCTGAGCATTCACATCGGCTGCAGTATGTTGCAGACCCAGATCCAGATCTCCAACAAATTTTCATATGGAATCTATTTTTTCAGGATGCCGCATGCAGATTAAACTTAATCATGAAACTAAAGACCAAGTTCACTTGTGTTCTCATTACATTTGCAGTGGTCTCTAGAATAAAAGAGCATCTTGTGAGCTGATCTCTACGTGGAAAGGAGCACTTGTGGTCCTGTTTCAGGAAGTAGTTGTGGGCTGCATGGTGGCGCAGTGGTTAGCACTGTTGCCTCGCAGCACGAAGGTTGCAGGTTCGAAACTCGGCTCGGCTGCGGCCTTTCTGCGTGGAGTTGCGTGTTCTCCCCATGCATGCGTGGGTTTCCTCCGGGTATTCCGGTTTCCCCCACAGATCACAACATGCCCTATAGGTTATAAATTGTAAGTCGCTTTGGATAAAGGCGTCTCCTAAATGAATAAACATAGTTAGAAAAAGAGTGGGGAGCTGAAAATGGCCTTGGACTCTTCATTCCTGATCCCCTCTCTCACAGGCTAACAACAACGTGACTATCACTGACTCTGCTTTGCAACGTAGATATTTTTTTCTCCACAAATAACACAAGCCTGAAGGAGTTCTGCTGTTTGGTAGAGTTGCTAATGCTAATAGACAGCTTCTGCTAGCCAAGACTTTAAAGGGACATTATGGAAGTTTGACAGCCAAAACATGTATAGAAATAATACATTTCTTCTTCATACATTCTCCTGCAATGCCCTGGTCCTGTAGAATGAGCCCTGGCATTTTTACTGTGATTGCTGGTTTTTCTGTAAAATCACAGAAAAAGAGAGATGCTCGGGTAGAGCAGGCTGCTTCATGCGTGTTCACGCTCAGGCATAGCCCGTAGCATTTGCTATCAGTAGCTTTAGCAGCAGAGGGTGAGGTAGTACCAACTCAGCGACTTTGTCGCTGTTCGTAACGCCTAGTGATGAACCTAGCTTCATTTCTGAGGACCCTTAGCTACTTTCCTCCAGATATTTCCTGCAAATTAGCAACAAAATAGTCATTTTAGCTCTGAACCGTTCTTTGAACGTTGTTTCAGCTGTCATCAAGGATATAAATATTACAGATCCAGAAGACATCACTGGTGCTATAGCTCACCTAGTAAGAAGGCGGACTCTTGTGTGGAAGATCCGGGTTTGATTCTGGATGTGAACATAGTTTATTCAGTTTATTTTTTACATTAATTATATTTTTTTACAGTAAGATGCCCAAATTTTTATTTGAGACTCGCCGAAAGGCATTGAATTCACAGATAAAAAAGATGTGGGTTCAACTTTCATTTTGGAACAATTTTTCAAGCAAGGGAAGGGCATGATCTCAGCATGCAGGAAGACTGACCCATCATAAACCTTTGTCGGCTGTGCTGAAGAGAAAGGTACAGAACCAAATTATTTAATTAATTAGCTGCTCGTTCTCCTGTCCTCTGTCCTCCGGGCTACACACACACACACACACACACACACACACACAGACGACTGTCTCAGCTGTTATTTTCGTTAAGGAGTGTGCACGTACAGCATGCGCGCCTCGTGCACGAGCCTACTATTGAAGCTGTCGTTACGCTTTTGGCCTGAGGGGGCAATCGCGAGCATAAAAATTCAAAACCCTGTAAAGTCCCTTTAACTGCTGTTTCCTGGACACCAAACCAACAACTGTTTCCCCGTCAGAAGCCAAGATGGGTGAGGCCATGCATGTTCATTTAGCATTGCGAACCTGCAAGTGACTGGCTTTTCTAATCTGAGCGTTTCCTGTCTATCGGTGTCTAATGCTGAAAATAGGGGTGGAAGACTATTTTCACAATTAGCATGCATGTTAAACTCAGAGTGACCCATCATATTTCTAAAAGAACAAGTCTAAAACTGATTATCAGTGAGCTTGGTCTTTGCAGAAATCACAAGTGAGACGAGGAACAGTGAAGAACATGCAGTATATTTAGATATAAACATGTGTCCCATTATTTATGCTGCTAGGTAGTACGTGTTGTTTTTATGGATATATCATTAAATGTACAATGTCAGATTTCTAATCCTTTGGTGCTCTTGTGAGAGCAGAGTTCCAGAGACGTTCAAAACACAAACCGCTGTTGGTGTGATGAATAGCAGTCCGTCCAGAAGCCGTAGGAGAACTAGGCCACATCCATTCTGCACTGGGAGTGAATGAGGGGTTCGTTGATTTCAGCTGGAGTCTGTTCTGACATTTTTTCAATTGGAGTTCCTTTGTGGAATTATAAACACAAGGACATGGCACAGGCAATGGCAGAATTTCTCCCAAATGGAATATATTGAGCAGATAACAAAATATTTGGAAAGCCTAATCCTTAGCGTGTGCTTGAAAGCTTGATGACGTTCATCAAACAGATGTGGGCAAAGGTAATGCTTGAGCTGGGAATTTTCAATACCATCCCAACAGATATGGGCGAATTTTTTCTGCAGTAATTAAAAAAAAAGTCTTTAAAAGGTTGTGAAGGTGATTTGTTGTTTTAGCCCAGGAATACTGTATTTCTTTTGTTTAAAACCCAAAACAATCCCAATCACATTCATCTCATTCACAACAACAAATCAAAGCAAACAATTAACATTTGTTTATTCAATTTAAACAGTATTTAAAAAAAACTCTCTGTGACATACAAGATTTCGCCCTACCATCCAGTTAGACTTCTGCAGGTGTGTATGGGACAACAGCGGTCTACAATCATTATTTTTAAATGACTGCACAGTGATTGTGAGAAAGCCAAGAGGGCATGGGGTATCCTCACAGCAGCGGCCTCCCCACATCTACGGTTTAGTGAGAGGAAAATAGGGCCAACCATCTCCGTTTAACAAGCAACCTTTCTATGCCAGCATACATATTTCTATATCTAAACACAGGCTTGTCAACAACAACAGCAGCAGCAGCTTGTCATTCCTTTCTCGGGGTGTTTGAAGTTCACCACTTTGCCCCCGCAGTGACTCAAACCTCCAAAGCTGCGGGATTTGACTGCAGTCTGCTTTGCTGGATGACTCATTTCTTCTCAGTGGCTAACACTGTTAGATGCTGAGGCTTCACTGACCTAAAGACGTTAGCAGGCATCTTGTAGAAGGCGGTCTGCTGAAGATGGTGCAGATGTGCAGGGAGCCGTTTTGTTAAGCAGCCCAAGCTGTCAGCTCGAGCAGAGAGATGAGACGGATGAGAATCCCTGGTAAAAAAAAAAAAAAAAGAAGAAGAAGCAATAGCTCTTCAACATCAACTGAAAGGAGGTGACTGTGAGTCTAAACTGATGTAAGAAGCCCCTCTGCTTCCTTATTCATACAGCAGCATGCAAAAATGTGGGTATCACTAATGAAAATGTCAATGAATGTAAATATCCAAGCAAGTCTTTGATGGGCTGCTCGTCAAAAGATAATCTGAGGGATTAAGATAAAAAAGAAATCAGGATTTTAGGCAAGACCGGTGTAATCTCCAAGGTCCTGGATCTGATAAAAAGGAAAATTCAACAAGCTAAGGTTTAAATGATCCAAATTATTTCAGCTCCTGTTTATGCAGATTTCCAAGAGATAAAAAACCTACGACTAACCCGATTCTCACTACGGTGGTTGCAGGATCTTATAGCCGTTCAGTACTTCATTCAGTTTGAATGTGAAGTGGTGCATCAGTTTTCTAAAACAGAGTTTTGTTTGTCATGTTCCACACACCTCACACACAAACATTTACATTTAATCAACATATTAACAATTCCTGTTGAACAGGTGTGCCATTCATGAATCAATTTACTGCTAAGCAAAATAATAATAATAATAATAATAAAGATACCTTGTAGAGAAATTAGAAGTTGAAAATAAAATTTGTCAATTCTGATTCTATTCAATGGAAATATTTCGGGCATTTAAAAAAAAGTGAAATCTAACACTTAATGATGTATAAACACAGATGAATTCACTGAGGCAGATGGGTGAACCGATCATGTTTCAGATGAAAGTTTCACAGAATGTTTGAAAGAAAACTAAAAGGGTTTAGTTTTCATGTCAATATGATAGTAAAAACAGCCCAAAATACTTAGAGCTGTGCATTCAGGATAACATAAAAATCACAAAGAACTTGGAGCAATGGACCAACAAACCCCTAAATGACTATTTTTAAATTGAACAATTTGGTGCAATAATTGTTTTTGAAAAAAAAAAAAGGCTAATCAAAAAGACTCGACCACATCTCTGTTTGTGTATGAAGAAAGCAGAAAGGCTTCAAGTTGAAGCAGTAGGGTTTCTCCTTTCTGGCAAAGTACTTCCTAAGTTGGTCTGACTTGACTAATGATGAAAACCAGATAAAACAGTGCATCATGGGGATTGACCTACCCTGATCCTGACACCTCCACTCAGCCACCTACTGTGCATTCCCACCCCATGTGATCCGTCTGTGCTTGGCTTTTATCTTGAATTAATCATGTATAGGCATTCATGTTTAAGAGGCTCTACAGTTCAGGGCTTTGTTGGATAAATCATCAGGAAATCACCCGGAGATTCACTCTTCAACTACATTTTTCACATGTTTCACCCTTCTGTCTTCTTCTCAACACCAAGGTGTCACCGTGTTATTCAGTCAACGCACCTCCAAGTCAAAAAAGGTTGGGGAAGGGGAAGGGGGGGGCAATGGAATAAACAGTGCAGATAATTAGTTTGATAAGGTCTAGTGCTCCAACAGGTAGAACAGCAAAGAACATTGATCTCAACTGAAGGTACAATGATTTTGATTGATACAATGTTTTGTGATTTAACCACTATCAAAAAGTACCAACACAGAGTACAAAACTAGTCCTTATAAGCCCAGCCCACTCAAGCTATATTGTGTTATGCAAGAAAGATTTCCCCTATTCCCAGCCCCACCCTTCTCTGTTTCCATACCCTGCCCTAAACGTTCCCAACCCGGCTGCGTTTCCCATGGTCTTGCGAGGGAGCGAGTGTTCCTGTAATCCAATCAGGAAGTG